TTTTTGTGTTTCATGTGATGTGTTAGGATTAGGACTAAAGTGGGAATGAAGGGTGGGTTAGGTTTAGGGTAAGGGTCAGATTTACACTATAGTAATTAATGAAAAATGAATGGAAGTCATTGGAAAGTCCCTGTAAAAATAGAAAGACGTGTATGTGTGTGACTATTTAAAAAAATGTCATGAACCACTGGATAAATTTTGGTAAAACTTACAGAAAACCATCAATATGCTAAGAATAGCTGAGAGTCATTACTACATCTTTCAAAGCCATAACACAAAGGTTTGATCAAATCACCTGGTCAGAATAGGTCATTGCTTACAATAAAGCCATTGGTTCACACAGCAAGACAATTGGGCCGATTTTTGACCCAACTTTACCCTTCTAACAATCTTAAGGACATCCCGATTATTGTGATGGTTATAAAGACAATTTGAAGAGATATTTCTGCCGCATGTGGTGTGTGCAGAGTGATCTAGTCGGCTCCAAATGACGTCGGTACTGCTCCGATCTCAAATCGGGAATATTTAACATGTTGGCTTGTCTTGGCCTKATATCCCAGGGTGTGTGGTGTTCTTTGAGAACAAATGAGCACACAGCCTGTTGAATGTGACCTGTAGTCAATCAGAAAGTGAGGTGACAGAAACAAAGAGAGGAATTCAAAATACAGAAGACAAAACAGCTGCCTTGGTGCACCAGAACATCAGGTGGACATCTGAGACGTCTTTTTGTTTGTTTTTTCTCTGTTAAAAATAGTCCACAAACTATCATCATTGCTTCTTCCTCGTCGGCCATGTTTGTTTACTCTGAACTCACGTTTGATCTCGAGAGGTTTTGCGAGATTTCCGTGTGACCTCTGAATGTTCGTGAGTGGAATCTGTTGGTCTGTTTGTGGTGTGTTTTAGCCATGTGGCTGTACATCACACTGCAGGACCAAGCTCTGGTATATTCAGGATTTTTTTTTTTTTATTGTCGCGTGGTTTGAAAATCAGCCCACAATTTTAAAACCATGCCGTGTGAACCAGGCCTTAGTTTAAAATTCTGACATTGAAGATGACGAGTGAAATGCATTCCTTCAAGGAAAGCTAGACCTGTAAAGAGAAGTCATGTCCTCTGTTTAGTTAGCTATGGTCCACTGCATTCAATTTTAAGGGACCATTAGGGGAGTAAAGTTTTACATTTTATTCACAGCACATAACCATGTACTTGAATAAAAATAGCCAGCCCACATTGGTTTGCACCAGAGGTTGGACACATTGGTTAATATTTATGCCCTCAACTGGGATTCAGAAGCCTAAATAAAACCTGATGAACCGTGTTCTTCTGCTCAGGGAACCCGTGTAAGAACTTTTCCATTATTTCATGTCACAGGGGCTTAAACTCGGCATAAAGAACCACTCMGATAAGAAGTAGGCGATTTCATGTTCTAGCCTGGATTGTGATGCCTTAGTCACATCTGCTTGTAATCTCATCATGCCTTCTGGGGGAGGGGAGGTGGGGAATCCCGTCCTTTCCCTCCTCCACACAGTACCAGGTGGAATCTTTGAATAAGGCGATTGTAGCCATCAAATGGCTCTGTTGTAAGCCTTCTGTATGCAGCAGTGCTTTGTACTCACAATAACTGGGTCATTTAAATGTTACAGACGTGGATATGTTTGGTTGTACCCTTTTGCAAAGCAGAAATACTCAATGATAATTGAAATATTTATTAAAAAGTTACAAAAAATAAACTAAAATAACAGTAATGGAAGACTAGAATTCGCCATGATGCACAGTTGCGAGTCAAAAAGCTTCCTTTTGGACAGATGTGTCACGATTTTGGGGTTTTYGATCAGTGTTACAGTTTTTGTAGCAATGTTTTCCATGATCCTGTTAGCTGTTCTGTGTTTCTGTCACCTGGTAGTTTTCTTTCTCATCGTTTCCTTCAGTTACTCAGTCTTGCCTTGTCAAACACATCTTTTCAGTCATGTCTCCCAGAACATGAAAGCTCATAACATTCTTCTGGTTTTTGTTTTCTTTTAATAAAATACATGTTTTGGATTCAACCTGTCACCTGCTGCTCTGTGTCCTTTGGTCCTGCAACAAACATTCAACTCATTTGTTACAAGATGAGTGCCACCAGCTCTATACACAGAGTAAAAAATTAAGCTACATGGAGGGGCATTGTCCTTAAAGTGAAACATGGAGGAAGCTTGGTTGTGTTCTGGGGTTTCTTTGCTGCATCTAAGACAGCTTGTATCTGTATGGGGCAAGATGAAATCTCAAGACTATCAAGGCATTCTTGAGAGAAAGCCTGGTTTCAGTTGCAGGTCACGGGTCTTCCAGCAGGATAAGGACTGGACTCAAAACCCACACTAAACATCCAAGAATGACACATAATAACACACTGGGCTATCCAAAGTGACCTTCTGATTTCTGATCTAAATCTCTTTTTTTTGTTTTGTACTTAGAATTTATTAAAATGTTGCCTTTCATGTGTTCATTTTGAAGTATTTTGTTGTAGATCTATGCGAGCTGTCATTCAACATCATTTATAATCCTTTTGACCCTCCCCTCCCACCCCGGCGCTTTGTGATCTGCCTCAGGGTCCAGGCCATATCTAGGACCCTCTCAGTGGGACAGAGTTAAATATAGCTCATTGAGTTTGAACATTCGAGGGAGGGGGGGCACAATGAACGCTTTCAGCTTCGCTGCTCATGGAGACGTTGCAGCGTGTCTGTGTCACGCTGTGGACAAAGTCAAAAGAAGGCTTTTACAGCGGCACAGAAAACTGCACTTGTTTCTTTTTAACAGTCAGAAAATTGGTATTTTGACTTGATTATAATGGTCCTGAAAACAAGTGAAAAGCAGCCCTGGCAGGATTATATAGAAATAGTTTTTTTACTTTAGTTATGAATGGTTGATTTTATTGCGTGAGACTGTGCTTTAGTTTCATAAAAACACATACAAGAACTGCAACTGAAAGGAAAATTAATCCTGTTACTTGTAGGTTTAAATGTTAAATACTGTAAACAGCACACAGAAGACACCTGCAGAGTGGCAGTTTGTTAAAAGAAGGGCTGATTAGTTAACGAGCACTCAAATGTAATCATGCACTAAGATGCTGGAGAGGCTTAAAGGAGGTGAGTTAAAGAATGCTTATCAWGAGAGTTTAACATCAATTTAATGGAAATCTCAGAATGAAATCACTAAATTTAGATGTTCAGCTGATTAACTTTTAGAGTCAACTCATTCATCATGGCGGCAACAGCTAGTCATCTGTTTGATTCTTTATGGTGGGGGTGTCAAACTCATTTTCACAGAGGGCCACGTGGGTGTTATGTTGGTCCTCAAACAGCCAGTTGTAATTACCTTTGATTAAACATGAAACCTCGTCTCCTTGCTCTGACTGAGCACTGGTGACAATAACTGAGCTCTACATGGTATTTTCTGCATAAAAACAGTTTTTAACGTGTCCTCTTATAAACAAAGTACTATGACTACGACTGATTAAATCTGAAATGTATAAAACAGAAATAGTATTAAAAGTAAAAATAATGGAGTTTTACTCACTGTTGAGTTGTGGTGACTAGCTGCCATCTTGAATTCCCACCAGAGGGGGCATCCAGCTTAAATTTACGACTTGTAAGTGGGAATATCCTATTTCCTCATACAACTGGGCTGCAGCAAAACTAGCCATCGAAAATGCAACTAAATGGAGATTTTATAAGATGAATTTTGCTGGTATGCTGGCTACCTTTGAACCCTATGCACGCTACCTACTGGTGGCATGTCATCCTTTTGTGGGCAAAATAATCAGTGTGCATTATAGGAGATGTACAGGGGTTGGACAATGAAACAACTGCCATTTTAATGTGGGAGGTTTCATGGCTATATTAGACCAGCCTGGTGAACAATCTTCATTAATTGCACATTGCACCAGTAAGAGCAGAGTGTGAAGGTTCAATTAGCAGGGTAAGAGCACAGTTTTGCTCAAAATATTGCAATGTACACAACATTATGGGTGACATACCAGAGTTCAAAAGAGGACAAATTGTTGGTGCACGTCTTGCTGGTGCATCTGTGACCAAGACAGCAAGTCTTTGTGATGAGTCAAGAGCCACAATATCCAGGGTAATGTCATCATACCACCAAGAAGGACCAACCACATCCAACAGGATTAACTGGATGCAAGAGGAAGCTGTCTGAAAGGAATGTTATGGTCTAAAACCAGGTGTTTCAGTTTTATTGTCTAACCCCTGTAGTTTATGTTCAATGCTGGCTTTAAAGCAGCATACACTTATTTTAAGACATTAACACGTCCCTGAAGTTCTTGCAGGCCACATAAAATGGTGTGACGAGTTACATTTGGCCCACAGGCCTCGAGTTTGACACATTTGAAAAGAAACCCTTAGCCACMAATTGTGTTTATTTTTTTAGCAAGCATTGAATTTTGTTGAAATTCCAGAGTGATGAGGATTTCTGGGGTTTCCACAAGACAATTAAAAGGTCAAAGAAAACTCTTTAGAAAAATGGTGAAAGTTGACTAAATTAAATCTGATAACAGGACCAAAACAGTCATGGAAAGTGTGAGTCTTTCTGCTGGAACTGTACACAAACACAGTCCTAATGCCCTGCCATGTAGCTGAGGAGGAAATCGAAATGGTTAAACGTGTCTGTGAGCTGGTTTGACCCAGATAAGAGGTCATTACTAAATCATGCACCAAGAACTGTGTCTGAAGAGGATTCTGAGCTCAAACCCAGGAAACTCCAAACAATGAGATTTGTTTCTAGGAGGTACAATCAGAGTCCTGATCGTGAAGCTGTTCCAAAATCAGACTCCAGCCTGCTTCATGAGCCTCTGTTCTAAATGATGAAACTGTATTCCACATTATGTTGTCTGCGTTTGTGTCTTGTAGAAAGACTGCAGTCTCATCCAAATAAATCTGGTTCTGGGAGTGACTCTGCTTTGATCATCCTCTTCTTGTTTTCTCTGCAGCTTGAAAGCTTTGGTGTCGACGGGAGGCAAAAACGTCCAGGCGGCGTGCGACTGGTGAGAGCAACACGTTCACTCCCCATCTCTCTAGTGGTTAATATATAACAGGAAGTCAGAACCGTTTTAATGGTTAACATCAACGTATTTGATGCGTCACTGTGGCGGAACAGCATCACTGACCTCTGCTGGATGTTGCTGTCCTCGCTCCACCTCCAGGCTCTTCTCCCACCTGGACGACCCGTTCCTGGATGATCCCCTGCCCAGAGAGTATGTGTTGTACCTGCGACCCAGTGGACCTCTGCTGCAGCAGCTCACCAACTTCTGGAAGCAGTCGCGCCTGTCCTGCGGCAAGAACAAAGCTCACAACATCTTCCCACACATCACCCTCTGCCAGTTCTTCATGGTAACATTCAGTCTTTTTGTGGATCGCATGTTGCATTTTATCTACACGACAAAATGTCCCCTCATTGTTTGAGAGAAGTGACCACGTCAATTCCGTTTAGTCAATTTTATTTAAAAAAGCCCTTCAAAACTCTCCTATGGAACAAAGTGCTGAGCAGTGCAAAACAAATGTAAAACTAATTTAATAACACTAGAAATAAAAGATAAAAAACAAAACTTTAAAAATCAACACCTAACAGATAACAAAAGCCAAATATATATTTTTTTCTATTCAACAAGTCAAACTTCTGCAAATGCAAAATTAGTTCAGCTCATCTGAAAAGGCAGTTTTTTTAGTTCTTTAATGAAATTTTACATTATTCTTTACAAATATCTGAAAGACTTAAATTTGTCTCCATTATTCCAAACAAGAAAGTCAATTTACTTTGTAGAGGGATATATGTTCTCTTGTTCTGAAGTAGAAAAAAAATCATAAATAGTAAACACGGTTATCTTTATTTTAAGTGTCAATCAGGTTTTTGTTGGTTTATACCATCTTTAAATGTGCAAAAATGACTTTTTAAACAGTTCCAGACCACTGATATGATTATTCCTGCTAATTGATAAACAAATTTAGTAAAAACTATATATTTTTTCCTGTTGGATGCTACAGGTTTCCATTTTAATCAGTAAATACATTAACTGAACCATTTTCTTTCAGACTTTGTGAAGCATTAGTATAAAACTTTATACTCTTTTTGCACAGTTAAATGCAATTACTGATGGTGCTTTTTAAGAAAATGGTTTTCATTTTTTCACAAGTGTTTTTCCTTCTTCATGCTGAAGATGTTCTTGTTGCTAATCCCACTTCCCTCTGTGTGAAAGAGTTTGTCTACAGCAGCCTCATTTCTGCTTTGTGCTAAAAATTTCAACAAAGTTGTTTTTAAGCTCAATAATGTTTTGTATTGACTTATTTAATAATGCTGCTGATTAATTTGTTTTTTCTTGTACCCAGTGTCCAGACGATAAGGTGGAGGCTCTCACTGAAGCTCTCCAGACCACCGTGACCAAGTGGAAGGGTCGCATCCCCATGCCCCTCCCCCTGGAGCGCTACATCTCCTCAACCTTCATTGGCCTGTTCGTGGAGGAGCAGATGGCGGAGGTTCTGAAGGGCTTTGCTTCTGATTTTGCCACCGAAGCAGAATCTAAAGCAGGTTGGCTGTAGTCGACTAATCTGTTGTTTTTTTTATTTTTATTTATGTATGTTTGATTAGTCACAATTTCTGTCACAACATCCATCTGTGCTTCCTGTTTCAGCTCCAAGTACACATCTCATCTCACCTGCTCACAGCTGACAATGTCACCGTTATCCAGTCTTTCTACCCTAACATATCAAATTAAAATAATGACCCATAAACTTTAGCTTAATATCTTAATCACATGTATTTCAAACATTAATGCATGTAATTATAAAAAAATAAAATTGCATACATTTTAAACTGCAAGTAGTGTTTTAAACAAACAGCTAAAATTCAAATAACTCGTAACAGCAGCTTCTCTCCAGCATGAGGGGCTGTTAACCTGCTCTGCTGCAAGTCCAAACTAAACTGAAGAATAACTTTGATTGAAGTGACATTCAGGTGCATAAAAGTAAAAAAAAAATACTTGATCCTGTTTAAAATTTTGTTGCATCACACAGTCCAAAAGTTCAAATAAGAAATCAAAATGGTAGGAGAGGAAACAGGATGGATTATTACTAAAAATCTGTGATTTAATATGAATGTTAGAACATTGACTGGCTAATGCGCAAAGTGATTAGTCACTGAAAACAGGCTTTAAGGCATCAACCTGATGAACAAGCTAACTTTCTGAAATGTACCCACATGGAGAGGATAATCATGGCTCCAGTGTGTTAGTGGTTCAGGTGATCTTGCTTTTACAGCTGCTGTCCTGCCGAGTCTGTATTTGACTTATTTGTTTGTTGGTTTTTGGTGAAATGTAGCCAACTTTTGAAAGCTAGTCTTGTTTTTTTTTTTAATCTTTTTTGCCTCTTTGACGTGGCCGTCTTTCTGTTCCGCCATTATTATCTCTCTTTGACATTCCCGCTGCGCCGCCTTCTGTGTTTTGACCAGTAAGCAATGCAACAATAGAAGCGATTCTGCCCTCAGCAGTTCTTGTATTTCATTGCCGTAACAAACAAACATTTATGTGGTTAAATAATACAAATAGTTGATGATAAAATATCGTGTCGACTCTTTTTTTATAATCGATGTAATGGATTATWTCGACTAATCACTGCAGCACTAGTTGGCTGTAATTCAACTCTGTATTTATGTCCAAGAAATGACTTTTCTTGGAGACAGTTGTACAAATAGGACGTTACTATTTTAAATGTCTGTCTGTCTTTGTCTCTCACCCAGATGTTCACGTTGAGCCTCACAAGAAGCAGCTTCATGTCACTTTGGCATACCACTTCCATGACAGTCACCTTCCAGTTTTGGAGAAGCTGGCCAAAACCATAGACGTCTCTTCAGGTTGTGACTGGCTGGCGGTGCTTCTCTCCAGAGATATTCGCTTTGCTAATCATGAGGTAGAGTATTTAGTCTCCTCTACGACTGTCGTAATTCTGGCCCTGGAAGTGTCCCCTGATGCCTCCCCCCCTCGCCGCAGACGCTTCAGGTGATGTACCCGTACGTGCCTCAGAATGAYGACGAGCTGGAGCTGTTGCAGGGAGACTTCATCTTCATGTCTCCGGTGGAGCAGAGCACCGCCAGCGAGGGCTGGGTGTACGGCACGTCGCTGGGCACGGGGCTGTCCGGCCTGCTGCCGGAGAACTACGTTGGGCGAGCGGACGAGTCGGACACGTGGGTCGTCCACGGGTGAGAACGAGGAGAGCAGCGAGACAAGGACCGCCTGTGTCGTTAGGAACTCCCTGAATAAACGAAGCTGTTTGTTTTCATCCAGGTCTTACTCCTTCCTCAACTGTGCCTCTCCATCTGCCTCTGGTAGCTCGGTGGGTGGGCTGTTACTGGACGGACAGTCTAACGACAGTCTACTAGACAGCCTTATGGATCTGTCCAGCCTCACTGGCCTCTGTCCTCCTATGCAGGTACATTACCGCAAGATCGCTTAAGTCGGGCTGCCTGCTTTAGAGATTAAAAAACCCTACTAATTCATATAAGAGCTGCTCGTTCCTTTTAATGATTTTAAGTGAATTTTAATCGTAGGTGTCAAGGCCAGCTGGTTCTCCCTCCCTGTCCAAGATGAAGCTGTTCGTGTGTCGTCACGGCGAGCGGATGGACGTGGTGTTTGGCAAACACTGGGTCACTCAGTGCTTCGATTCCAAAGGTCAGCCCTCAGAAAAGTGCAGTTCTCTGCACCCGCTTTGGCATTTTTACTCACTTTGATCATGCTCACGTAGGTCGATATATTCGCTCGAATCTCAACATGCCGATCAGTCTACCGGCCAGGAGCGGCGGTCACCGGGACTACGACAAAGACTGTCCAATTACCGTGTTCGGCTCCACCCAGGCCCGACTTGTAGGTCCGTACGTCTCCTTTTTAGGTTTGTGGTCTCGTTGGCCAGTATGATCTGTGAAAATGAGATGCTTGTTCGTGTCCTGGTCTGCTTTCAGGCGAAGCTCTGTTAGAAAGCCACACGACCATCGACTTTGTTTACTGCTCTCCATCTCTTCGCTGCATCCAGACCGCTCAGCACATCCTGCAGGGTAGGACCTCGTCTCCATTCACCTCAGCCATCAAAGCACAAGTCAGCGTCAAGCATGTGGTCGGGTTCTTCAGCTTGGAAGCTTTTCATGCACCTGATATTTAGGACTTTTGGTGCTGAGGCCCCGACACCAATAGTATTTGTCTTTATCCTTGTTTTTTAATGAGCTGCACAAGATGGCAGACTGAAAATAAACTCCAGCACCAGATTAATTTATTCATAATGCTCACAAGCTGATGTTATTTATTTATCTGCAGTAGGCTGTGTATTTCATTGCTAACATGCTAACTCTGTAGCTCGTTTCAAAAACAGCATAACCTTAAAAAGAGATGGGTGTTATTTATCTGGTAGACAGGCCATGACTGTAATGTCCACTACCAGCGAACAGATAACTGAGTAACAGGTTCAGGTCATGGGGGAGGAACTGAAAAACATGCATTTCCTCAGTTATCTTGTTCTACGGTATTTWAACTGTGGGAACAGTTTGACAGGAAGCCGTTAACCGCCTGATGCTACCAACAGATCTGTGAATCTAACTTTGTCTCATTCTCTCTTTTTTWAAAAAAAATCTGGGTCAGGTCTCCAGCAGGAGGCCAAGACAAAGATCCGTGTGGAGCCTGGTTTGTTTGAGTGGACCAAATGGGTTTCAGGCACGTGTTTACCCACCTGGATCCCGCCGGCTGAGCTGGCAGCCGCTAACCTGAGCGTGGACACAACCTACAGGTATGCAGCACTGCCGACGCGTTTTTGCTTTTATACCGTTTAATTCCCTGTAATGCTCCATTTGCCTTTTCCCCCACAGACCTCATTTTCCTGTGAGTAAGCTGACGGTGTCGGAGCCCTACGACACCTACATCAGCAGGAGCTTCCAAGTGACCCGAGAGATTCTGAGCGAGTGCAAAAATCAGGGTAAAGTATAACTAAACAAGTATGCAAGGTTTTTAGTTTAACTAACCTTTAACTAGTTGAAACATCAATCAGCATAAACAGCTACTTTCATATTGAAACTGTTACAAATGTAATGCTTCTGAAGTTCATTTTTATAAACCGAGCACAGAAAAATAAGGAAATCAATGTTTGGTAGATTTATTTGCTGTAACAATGCTTCTTGACAATAAACCTTTTGACTGGCAGCACCTGTGTGGACCAGAAGCTCAAAACAAGTGTCARTCACAAAATATGCTGTTTGACAGAGAAGATTTGGCTAATCTTTAATGTGCACTGCTCATATTCAGCTCTACTGCTCATCCCACAAATGCATGTTCCTTACAAATGTGGCACCATTTAAAAGGGAAATTAACAGACTTTTTAACAATAGAAGATTTTTTTGCCAAGAAGCATTGTTACAAATAATCAACCAAATACAAATTTACTTACTTTTTGTGCTAAGTTTATATTAACCTGCTAAAATACATTAAAAAATATATTTTATTATACACATACTGTGTCACTGTGTTGTACGTGGGTTGTAATGATATTCTAGATTTTTATCTGTGTTTGCAAAAAAGAGAATAAGCAGCAGCTGAGTCCAAATAACAGTAAAAAGCTTGTGGTATTTATGGAATGCGTCTCTATGTTTTCTACCTCTTTCACACAGGAAATACGGTCCTGATTGTGGCCCATGCTTCCTCCCTGGAGGCCTGTACTCGACAGTTACAAGGCCTCAGCCCCCAAAACTCCAAGGACTTTGTCCAAGTCGTCCGAAAGGTCTTTTTATTTTTACTTTGTCTCTGCTTTCACTTCTACAGTATTCTCTCCAGTTCCCATCTATTGTTCTTTTTTTTAACATGCACATCTGTCTGCCTTATTTCCAGATTCCCTACTTAGGTTTTTGTGCTTGTGAAGAAATGGGAGAGACAGGCGTGTGGCAGCTGGTCGACCCCCCCATCCTGCCTCTGACACATGGACCCAATCACAGTTTCAACTGGAGGGAAATGTTAATGCACGACTGAAGGATGTGCCATTTTTTAATTTTTTTATTTTTTGCTATTTTGACTGAACTGCTTAAATATTTATTTTTTTCTTTACATTTCACTCAAACTATCGAAAGGACAAAGAATCACAGTCTGGCTTCCGTCAAAGACATCATGCAAAAATAAAAGTCTATATGTAATATGGGCTAATGTATTTAGACGCACTGCTCAGGAAGAAGAAAATAGTCTTTGTGGAGGTCACAGTGAATATATGCTGCAGTTTGGATGCTTATCTTTAAACGTGGCACCTATTTACAAAGAATATGGAGGTGCTACAGTAATTCGATATTTAAGAAATGTGACAAATCCTTTTTTTTCGGGCAGAAGTACTCTGTGACCTTCCTTTTGGCAGACAGGAAGTGAAAATTTTGTGCTGTGCTGCTTTCTCACACACTGTGACAAGATTTAATTAAGGAGGACTTGTGCCGCTGAAATATTTTTCCACACGTCGGAAATGATTACTTACCTTGTAGCGACACCCCCCCCACCCCCACCCCCCTTTCGTGAAGAGAAGCACAAAAAGAAAGGTTGACAATCAGACAGTGGAGCTCTGACTGCCATTGTTTCTGTTGCTGAGGTTTGGTAGTTTGTTTCACCCCTCCTTCTCTAAGTGTCATATCATTTTATTCTACAGGAGCCCACGTGAAGATTTTGACCCATCTGTAAAACCACATTTTTAACGGATTCATCCAGAAACTGAGTTTATACAGCAAAAAGAACATAATTGACAGAATAATGTTGCTATGTTAATTATCTCCAGGTGCCTCCATGAAATATTTTAACTGTATCATGACACGGATGCTCTGTAAACCTTTTAGACTACCCTGCTTTTCAGATAATTGGTGCATTTCATATATATATTTTTTGTTACATTGAAGGATTTAATTGCTCACTGCTTAAACCAGTTATGTGCTGTATATAACTGAAAAATTTATTCGTACTCTATAAGCAAATAAAGCAAAGTTATAGAGCTTTACATTTGTGATGTGTGCAAAAATGTATTTTTTATTTTAAGTGAAAAGTAAGAACGTTGCTTTGATTAAGTGTGAACTGACAGCCAACTAACACACACACACACACACACCACCTGCTAAATTCAGTCATTAAAATATCAAATCAAATTTTAATTCTAACAAAAACAGAAATAACTCCACATATACAAAATAATTGATCTAAACATAAGAAAAACACTTATACACGTTCACTTATTATCCTGGCTTATTCTTGCAGAGAAAAATAATACAAAACATACCCAAATACAATGAATGGATTAAATGTGTCATCTTTCTTTCGTCTTAAAGAATGAAAATCCCTGTATGACATATCAAAGCACAAATGTGACTGACAGCTTTCATTACAGTTTAGTTACATTCATAAATTCAGCACTGAGCTGTGAGCCTGATTGTCCAGAAACAAGATTTTCTTCAACAGCCGTAATTAACTTGATTAAATACAGCTGTGCTGGTCAAGGAGGGAAAGAGTGGTAGCAGTTTTATCTCTGACGGGTAAATGTTTCAGTGTTCACATATGTTGCGTGTGTGCGCCTATAACTTCCTGGAGTATTTATCTTTTTTTTCCCTATAATAAAAAGCTGTCTGCTCGTTCAGATTTTGAAATATGCGTAGCTGAAATTGAAATGCTTACATTTTGACTACGGACATCAAAGATGCACATAAATCTCGTGTAAAGTACTAGAAACCCTATGGCGCGCTTAATTGCATCGTGCGTCGCCGCCATATTGGATGGGCCTCTTCTAACTCCAGGCAGTACCAGAGCGAGAGACGATGCTCATATTTGGTGCACTGAAAGCAGACTCCATGGGATCACCATTTTATAAGTAAGGCTGAACAATAGTTTTGGTTATTTGACATCTTTATTTTATCATTGTATGTATGCCAGACAATAGGTCTATTGTATTTAAAGTATAAAACAAAGTATTTTAGCACAAAAGCTCGTATTAGTGTGACCGTGTCCAAAACACACAACTATATCTCTAGCGTTTGTAACAAACCAAATCGTGAGGGGAAAAAAATCGTGGAGTTACGATTATTTCAGTTTGACGAACATCTTCCTCAGTGTAAATACATGCGCTGGGAGCGCAATGAACCTATCCAAGATGGCGACCGTGCGTAAACGTCGCCAGTCCATTACGCGAGAAGGATGTGTAGCAGAGCAGGATGACTTCAGCTGCAGCACGAAACTCAAGAAATGGTGGAAAGCAGAATTAATCAGAAAATAAGTAAAAAAGTAAGTAAACAAACACACATGCTCACATTATAGAGAAGAAAAGAATTTATGTAAGCTAAACGATTTTAATCTTTGGAAACGTTTTTGAAAGTTTGGGCCTAATATGGGGCCACATTAACACTGTATTTCATAAAGTAAAGGTGTGTGTTTCTTTGGCAAATTTTGAATTAAAYACCAATAGCATATTATTGTCAGAATTATGAGAGATAAATCTTCAGTCATAAATGGACAAAAATAATACTTCAATCAGCAACAGTTGGAGTTGCACATCTCTGCCACTCWTATTCTGGTAAGTCTGGTTATTAATATATTTACTCAAATACTCAAAAGTTCAAGACAAGTCAACAAAACTTGTCTCACATCATAGTAATCGCCCAAAACTTGAGAAAATATCATCTGTTCATCCATTTTCTTTATCTGCTTCTCCTCTCTGGGTTGTGGGGACACTGGTGCCTATTTCCAGCACTGTGCGAGAGGTGGAGGACACCCTGGACATGTCACAAGTCCATCACAGAGATGCATAGAGACAAACGAGAGAAAAAAATCACACTCATAATACATTTTAGAGTTTCCAGTTAGCCCAATATGCATGTTTTTATTTTGTGTGAAGAAACTGGAGCACGTGAGGAAAACCCACGCATGCATGGAGAGAATAGGCAAACTCCACTCAGAAAGACCCCAGGCCAATGGCAAACCTGCAGTGGTGGGCACAGTTCCCCTAAAGCACTATATTAGACTATAATACTATAAATATTTGTCACTTATCCACTAAGTGACAATATATTGACAGTATACACACAGCTGTGGAATGTCAATGATAAGAAGAGGGCAACATACAGTATGTGACTTAWGGGATGACTGGGTTATTTTAGTGGTTTAGAATTAGCTTTTGCTAAATTTTCAGCATGTTAGTGCTTTAGAGTTAGGGGACCTACATATTTGAGTTAGTGCTTTGGGGCTAGTGGAACTACTTTTTAGATTAGTGCTGCCCACCACTGCAAACCTGCAACCTTATTGCTCTCAGATAACAGCTCTAACCACTGCTCCACCGTGCTGCTCAGGAAAACATCTTTTCTCCCTGAAACAAACAGGACAGAATGACTTGGGTTTATACAATATGATTAGAAAGAATAAAACTCTGCTTTACCARCATGTAACCAGGGCAGAAATGCAAAAGTACATAAACAGTACATACATGGAATGAGAAGCACTAGATGGTGCTGTTGACCAACATCTGTGGCAACCGTTAACGTGCAGGAAAGTACGGACCAGCAACCGTTAAACTTTTTCATATCTTGTGCATTCTTTTGTGGCAACCATTTTCTATTATTTTAAATTTACCTAAAAAAATGTCTATTAGTGGTGTGTGGTTTTCCTTTTTAGGGGCGTTCTGTGCACTAAATTCCTGAGGCGTGATGCAATTTGACGTCGGCCTCTTTGTCAGTTCAGGAATACCTCCAGTAAAAATATTTTTCAGTCCATCATAAAAGGGACTGATAAACAAGGATTGTGCTGAATTGTTTTTTTCTCCTAACATTTTAAACCTGCAAAGAAATGTTTGTATTTAGTTCTTTTTAGGCTAACCAGATTTGATAATGCAATTGCATTAAAAAAATATTCTAATTTAAACAACATGAAGGGAAACAAGGTTTGCTTGGTGCTTATTTTAAGGCTTACACTACATTTGATGTATAATTTGTTGATGCCAGTTTTACAAGGACAGTGCATGTTTCTTATTTTCTTTTAAATTATAAACCAATATGTTTGTCATCTCCTAAACATGTAAAGTATTTTCTAAACTCGAAAAAAAAAGATTGAACAAAAACCTAAAAATATGAAGCTAAAGTCAGCAAAAGAAACCACAAATTATTTTCTTACATCAATAATGATAATAAGAGTAAATCTTTTAAAATGTTTTTTTTTTAATTTTATTAAATGTCAGTACATCATTCACTCTTTGTAAGTAGATAATTCTCTGTCTTGCTGTAGAGCTTTAGGGTCAAGTTTGTCAAACGTTTAAAATACAGGTTTATAAAATACATTTATGAAACTAAGATTTAATTTGTGCAATTAAATTCTAACAATAAATAAAAATATTACAATGAACAAAAACAACATTCAGAGAATTACCTGTAATAATGTTTTCATTTTTTTCCAGTTAACATTGTTCAGCTTGTTAAAAAGGAAAGTTCATGTTGACAAACCTGACATGAAAATGGTCATTTTTAATGTTTGAATATGTTTTAAAGCTGTTACATGTAATATAGTTTGCTGGAATTAAGTTGCAGAACTTTGATCCTTTTAAGCTTTTATATAAACATATTTGAATCCTAAATCAAAGTAAAAAAAAAAGAAATCTCTGAGACRATTCTGACTGTAGTTCTCAGTCTGCTGTTGGACCCAGTTAGATCTGCAGACAGCTGAACAGGTGCAGCACTTTGGGAATAAAAAAGCTCCTCGTTGGCAATGGCACAAAGTGAAGTTCAAATCTTACAGATTGAAGTCCGTGTGTTAAAGCAAATGTCTGAGACTCMTTAATGGCCAAATCCCAAAAGCACATACAGGTGACTCTCAGGTGACTTTGTTGTGGTGAGACTCTCGATGTCTACTCATAGCAGTTTTCTTTCTTTTTCCTGAATTTAAGAGCAAGTTAGAGTACTTGATGTTCTGCCGGAGCGCAGCTGTTCCCTGTAATCTAGTAAGAAACAAACTCTCTGATCTGCTGCGTGACCTTATTAGTAAAATAAGCTGTAGTGACTTGGTTAACACTAGAGATGACATGTGGGCTCAGTTGCCGGCTTTTGAACCTCAGCTAACGTGCACAGTCTGGATTCAGCATCACTGACAGGAGAAGTTTTAGTATTTAAAAAAAGTTACTTTTTTGCAACATTACTTCCACTGAAATATGAACGTATTTGTAGATGTTTAATGGTTTTATGTTGACGAAGTTTATAATGAYAGATGTGGCCTTCAACAGAGCTCCTGATCAATAATAAAGTCAGCGCTGTCACGAGTCACCAAGGCTGAACTGCCTTCACAGTATTTAAAACTCTCCAGCACTCATCTCCAAGCTAATAATTTAGCAACGTTTAGACGTCTCTCCAGATTGCATTAGGTTTTTATATTACAACAATGGTAACAAATCAGTCACAGATTTTTGATTATTGCAAAACACTTCTGCTTTGACTCCCAGGAACACAGCTGGGTTTTTCAGAAATTGGGCAAGTGAGAGCTAGCACGACCTGTTTGGGACCTACATTTGCCTAAGGAGGGCTTTGATTGATGCTTTCGAAAAGCTTTCCCCCCCACTTTCCCAGTTTCTTTTCTATAAGCCTGACATTTCCCAATCATCATGATGAGTGTTTTAATTAGACTTTCAAACTAGCGTAATTATAACTTGCACTAAAATATGATGTTCAGGAAGTTATTGTTGAAAGATTCGATATGATCAGTTGTTTTTTTTTTTCATAGAAGAGGAACAGATTACATCAAGGGAAAATTTGACAATAAAAACAAGCAATGAGAACTGCATTTACCTCGATTGAAAGAGGTAATCAGAATTAAGATCAGATAATTTATTTTAACTGATGCAATCATGAAGAAATAAACAGTCTGATTTAGCCTTTTTTACTGGCGATTTTGTCACTCAAGAGGTGCTGCTTTCCCTGTGTAAAAATGTCTAAATGCTTCATGTACATTATGTTTCAAAAAGACAGAGTTCTGCGTCACAGTTAAAGCAGTTCAAAGGGAAAAAAAACTCCTAAAGAAAGAGCAACTTCTGAGTCCCTGTGTGTCTCTGAGCTGTTCAGAGCGAGGGAGGGGAGGCAGAGGGAGGAGGTGGAGTAAGGTTGGAGTCCCACACAAGGGGAACCACTGGTGAAAGGAGCCGCTTTTTCCCGTACGGCGCACTCCTCTCTTTATGCTCCTCTCTGTAAATCTGTGCGTCTCTGCCTTGCACCTGTGTTGGCTCGGCTCTCACTGGCTTTCTCTCGTTCTCGCAGGTTGTTTACCGGCCGTGTCACAGTGAGAGCTCGTGCAGCAGAGGCGAGGCAGAGCTGGACCTGGTAGACTGACAATAACCTAAAAAAACAACAACTCAGAGCAAAGGAACTGAGTTTGAAGAGGGTTTTTTTTTTGTGTGTGTGTGTGCCTCCATCTTCTAGACATCTGAGGATCAAAGCTGCCTTGGTGGCGTGAGGGACTGACAAGAAGCAGACGTGTTGAAAATGGTGAGTTACAAACAGCTGAAGTTACTTGAAGTTGTTTTCTTTCAACCTAAATCCATGAAAAAGTTTCTACCTGTTCATAAAACTTCTCTAACGACAGGCTGTGGTGAACTGAACAGCAGCGCAGCACCGAAACTTTGTTTTTACATTTTTTTATTCATCTTTTTGTAAATGTGTGTTTGTGTTTTTTTTTATGAGGTGTTGCCTGGTCTGTGGTTAATCAATCTTTGAAGCAGACTCAGCTGCTTTGCTCCTTTCAGAGTGTTTGCTTGTTCCGTCGTGATCATTTGTACAGACATCCCACATGTCCAGAAATAAACACACACACACACACACACACACACACACACACACACACACACACACACACACACACACACNCACACACACACACACACACACACACACACACACACACACACACACACACACACACACACACACACATAGAAAGCAACAGGGTTCAGATAGTTAGCATAAAAAAAACAAGTGATCTGCAGCAATCAGACTGACATCTTCTTTAATCTCTGTSTGTTTATGGTGCGTAATGTGACTCTGGACATTTTAATATGGTGTGGCGTGCTTTGAAGAAACTTGTAGCTTCTATGCAAAGTTGTGTGYGATGATGGCGGGTTGACCCAAACGCAGGCGAGGCTCCAGAGGCAGATGGGAGATGAAAATMCAGAACTTTATTTAGCAGAACCAAAGTGGTTCGAGGGCTGGGTGTCCAAAAAAAAAAAAATACATTAACAAAGCAAAAGAAAAAAACAAAACCAACAAAGCAAAGCTTGAGTAAACATGGTGAGAAACACACAGAAGTGTAGAATCTGTGACAAAGGAACAAGTGAGAATCTGGATCTATGCTGACAGAGGTAATGATTAACCTGAGGCAGGTGTGGAGGTTAGTGAAGTGAAACCCAGAGGACACGATGCACGTTTGTTTGCATTCGGCTGTTTATGATGGAAGTTTGTAGCTAACAGTTAGCCGCACTATCCGCCACAGACTTATGGCTTTTTGTTTAAAATGTATCAAACATCACTGGCTGCTAAATCAAATGCTGGTGCATTAGAGGCATTGATCATTTTGACACCAGTGAGCAACGATTTGTCAAATAAATGTTGTGTACTTGAATGTAAAAGAGCCAGAAAGGAAAAAAAAAAAGAAAAGAAAGAAAAGGCCTGAGGCAGCTGATAGAACCACAACCTAATGACGATTACATCTAAATTAAAACAAAGGTTGACAAACAAAAAACATCTGGCAGGATCAGTTCACCAAACACAGACAACAGGCACAAACGTTGTGTTTTTACTCTAAATGAGTCGCTTTTCTTTCTTGTCCCTAATGTGATTAAAACAAATGAAGCATCTGGTTCTTTTGAATACGCTGCATGAGAGAAAAAACCTCGACCCTGAAACTCTCAGCAACAGAACCAAATTATACACGCAATGACTCAAACCGATTTGGATGCTTCCCAACATCAATATGAAAACCTCTATTTTAAACTGCAACGTGACAGAATTAAAATCTATTTTAATGTTAATTATTTTATTAGTCTCCAAATGTCTTGGCAGAAACACAAATTTGGTGCATTATATACTTAAACAGAATATTAAATATATTTTTACCACTCACACAAGGAGTAATAATCTCTTTAGCTGACAAAACTGTTATTTCTGTAGTTTGGTGCTAAACTAACATTTGTTACTTTATTACTACTGTGGTTACGAAACAGTAAAAAGATCTTTTTATTCCTTCTTTATTCACAGTTTTTCTAGAAAATGAACGTACAGATTAAATTGTGTTTTATCATCAGGTGTTAGACCTGATCACGTTAACGATAATCAGAATTGAAGTCTGGGTCTTGGGTAACAAAACCCCAGAGTCTAAGCTTACAGAAAACGGCTGAACTTGTTTTCTCTGTTGCGAGTTATTCTGTGTGAAAATGTACATGCTGTCACAGGATATCCTGCAGGAAAACAGATTAAAATAGCTTCTCTACCGTATTTCTTTCTCAGGTCTCTGCAGAGCCGACTGCTCCTAGAAACACTTCCCAACGTCACCGTGACGTCCCTGGGCTTCTATAAGCTGCGAACCAGAAATAATATATATAAATCTGTTAGACAGTAACAGGAAACGACAAACCAGGACATGCAGGATGATAGGATCTGAGTTTTGTGTAAAATGTTCATTTATTTCAAGTTTACAGGAATCAGTGTCTTGATTGAAGTAAAAAAAAAAGGATGTATAAAATGATAGCAGTATTAAAAAAGGCGGTGTTGGTGGGGAGAGGACGGCATGTTTCGGTCTCTGCATGCTTCACATTCTTCGCTGCTGACCTCTGTGGAAAATAACAACAGCCAGGCTTGAAGGTCACCCTGCCAGAGCTGCTAGCTGAGGCTGACTTGTTTCTGGTACCAGACGGTCCATCAGATCATTACAGTTCCAGCCGAGCTGAAGCTGTCAGGCTGATGTTACAGTGTGCAGCTCGTGGAAGGACTGGACGTGCATTTCAGAAATGGTCAGGTCTGGATATGATGTGGTTRCTTGTTTTTATCAGGATATGGGTTAAATTCAAGTACCTGCGTCAAAGATAAGAGTTCAGATGGATGGATTTAACAGGAAGACCATGATCAAATCACATCATCTCACTAAAACAAACCCAGTAGGAGTTAGTGGCAGTGAAAACCTCTGCTTGGCTCATTTCTATCAAAAAACTTGAAATGGAAATAAGAACGTTCTTGAAGTTTTGTTTCTGAAGCTGCTGGAGGATTTCCAGGAGCAAACTGTTATTTTACAGTTTGGTTTGATCCACATGTGGAGCAGACCTTTTAAAAAGGTAACGCTGCTGTGTTCTCATGGTGAACGTTTGATTTTATCTTATTATTCCACTTGTTCTGCCTGTACTTGGTCACACTTCTTCATAGCTTTCCATCTATTCTGCTGAATTTCTGCACTTGTGTTAATGTTTATATAAATAAAACACAAAGAGTTTAAAATTTGGACTTAAACCGATTTTGATGTAAAATAAAAAGCTAGCTACTCCTTTTTTGCCATACTTACAAAAGTCATAATGTAAGATAATCTGAGTTGGATAAATAGAAACAGTTAAAGCTTTAATGTGACAAATAATTGCTAATAAAAGATGAACTGKCATCTGATGTATGATTAAGTTGAGTATTTAATAAAGTTGTGTCCTTGTGTGAAGAAATGGGCAGAAACGTTAATTTTTTTTGGTAAAAGATATCTCATAAAAAGAACGACTATAATAAACTAATTCCTGGTATACACCCGCCAGACCACACGTTTTCCGTCAGCTGTAAAATATGAGCCTTCTGCTTCTCCTTTTCTCTCCTCACTGCCCTTTCAGTCTCTTTTCATAACTTTTTCTGCCTTTCTCTTCCTTTTCTGTCAGTTTACCATTAGACTTCTCTCAGCTCGTGTCAAGTTTAAAAAAAAGGGAGGATTTTTTTGTGCTCAGTCAGATCTGGTTTTGACTGGTACAGCAATTGGACAAAAATAATACTTTGACAGAGTTTAGGGCTAATTTTGAACTTAAAACATACTTTTTAAAGCAAAGCAAGGGAAAAAAACTAAAAAAAGAATAATCCTAAACCCTCAAAAACTACATTCCTTACAGGAATGCTTATCACCCGCAGCCTTATCAGATTTTTAACCGAAGTTATCTTGAGAAATATTTAAGTTTAAGCTGTTTCAAAAGGAATGAAACACTGTGTGATCTTTTAATGCTTTTTTTAGATGAATATCTAAAACTGATCAGTTAGCTGTGGCCATCTTGAATTGGGTTAACTCCTAAAGTTAATCAGTTTTAAATGTACTTTGCAACTTATGACGATTATGGATGTTTTATTAATAATGCGTCAGTGATTCAGAATATATTTTACTAACATGAAAACAGTAAATTAAATGTTAAAAAACAGACTCATTAACACAATCTTTTTCCAATAAATAACCAAAAATTGACATTAACATTAGAAAGATTTCTCAGMTTTTTGTTTTCTTCTTTACTTTCTTAATTTCTACAGTTTATTCATCATTCTAATGTTTTTTAAGTCTCTATTAGTTAAATAAAGTTAGCTGTTTTGAACCCTGCAGTAAGAAATGTAGTTATTTTTCATGGACATATTTACTGCTCTGTGCTCCCCTTAATGAAGGAGCATAGCTGGAGTGGATCATATTGTTTTATTTACYTTTCTTTGTACATACTCCTTTGTTTTACAAGAAAACTATCAAATGTACCAATGCTTTGCAACCATTTTCCTGGAATCTGAACAATACAAAGAACAAAAAWCCATCAGGTTACAGTTTTACAAAAAGTTGGTGTACACTGCCCTAACCGTTTTATCATCTGTTTTTTTTTAACTAGAGAGAAGCCTCTTTATTTTCTTCTTTAGATTTATTTATTTATTTATTTATTTATTTATTTATTTATTTATTTATTT